TACAAAACTAAAGAAAAACATTTATAAGTGTCCTAACATTTTTTTAAGTTATGTCCAAAAAACGTTTTTTTACAAAATGAAAAATGCAAAAAAAAAATAGTTAAACTTCATGAATCGGGCTGAAAATACTCTCATTTTATGTACCCTGGGGAGACCTACAATTTAAAAAAAATTGAGGCCTTTAGCTCTTTCTCGTTCTGAGATATTGAGGCAAATGTAATGTTAGTACACACACACACACACACATCGGGACAAATTTTTAAAATCCGTTTTTTGGACTTCGGAGTTCAAAATACGTCGAAATTTTTTTTTATTTATTTAGAACATTTATACGGGGAGTTCCTGTGCATATATAAAGTACTAAAGTATTAGGCATAATAAAAAAAAATTTATAAATATGTCAAAAAATGACAATCCAAAATTTTGCTAATACAAAGCTTCCTTTATGAGGAAGCAAAATATATTATTATTAAATATATATATATATATATATTATATACATATTATATTATGCTTATGCCAAGAAAAAAATTGCAGGTTAATGGCTATAAGAAATTCTTATTCCTTAGAAAATGACCTTTAAAATAAGCCTAAGATCATTAAAAAGCATTCATTATTTTAGAAGTTATTCAAATTTTCGTAAAACATTGAAAATTACGATTTTTAAGAATATCTTTTACAAATTTTGGCCAAATGACTTCTGTAAGGGCTTATTCTCTTCAAAATTGTATCGTCTTTCAAAATATAAACAGAAAAAAATTTTAGTTTACATAAATTTTATGTTAAACAATTTTTTTCATTCCTTTAAAAAAGGGTGGACTGACAATTGTGGCCGGTACTATAGAGGTAGAGAATTTTGAGTCTTAAAAATTTATAACCGGTTCTTTGATTGGGACCCTCATTTACTAATTACTAATTATTAGAGATTAATTTGTGCGATTTCCTCAGCACATTGATTAGAATTCCGAAGTTCCTCTTTTAATACTGGATCATGTTGCCTCTCCAACATGATTTGAGCAGAATATTTTGATGCCAAAAGGATGTTTGAAAGGTAAATGGTTCGAGGTGCATGATTTGTAAAAAATTGTGCCAAATAGGCACCTCTTTTTTTTAATTTTTAAGATTCTCGCCGGTAGGTGCTGACAATTGAAGTCTTTAGCCCATACAATTGTGTTCCTACGAAGTTGTTTCTCCTTCTCTGTGAGGACCAACGATGCGGCCAACGGCGTAGGAGACTCTGGAAATACCGCATTCCCAACTTCAATGGCCTCCGCAAGTTCAATGTGACTATCCTCGGCAGGAATATGGTCTTCTGCGGGAAATTTGTATACAATAATACAAGCCGAAAAAATTGTGGCGAGTTTCGGAACCAAGAACCGGACAATACTTTTCCGAAGGTTTTTGACGTGCTGAATCCGAATCTGACCTCAGAATTGCCCATTCCGTTAGCTTTCTGAGGTCAGATTCGGATCCAGCACGTTACAAACCTTCGGAAAAGTATTGTCCGGTTCTTGGTTCTGAGATTCGCCAAAATTTTGTTGGCTTGTGGAATTAAGAAATTTCTTTTCAGATGTAGTGACAACAGTGGCGCACAACGAAAGGGCAGGAAAATCAATCAACAGGTGAGTAAATGATTAATAAACATCTTTTTTCAGATGCAGTGACAACGGTAGCGTACATCACTGTAATATCGCCGTAAGAATAAAAAATGTGCAATCACACATCTTTTTTTCATCTCAGCAAAAAAAATTCGATTTATTTTAAATAAAAATTAAAACATACGTATTGGTTTTGTAGCCTTGGCCCGAGTTGGCGACGTGAGCTCCGTTGGCTCCGTTGACAACCTGGGTGACCGTGACGGCAATGGTGGCGGTGACGGCCTTGACGGTGACTGGAGAAAGAGCTGCCGTGGATCTATGGACAAAAGCATTTTCTTAGATGCAGCGACAACAGCGGCGCACAACGAAAGGGAAGGAAAATCAATTAATAGGTGAGTCAAAAATACAAGCCGAAAAAATTGTGGCGAGTCTCGTAACCAAGAACCGGACAATACTTTTCCGAATGGTTTTTAACGTGCTGAATCCGAATCTGACCTCAGAATTGCCCATTACGTTAGCTTTCTGAGGTCAGATTCGGATCCAGCACGTTACAAACCTTCGGAAAAGTATTGTCCGGTTCTTGGTTCTGAGATTCGCCAAAATTTTGTTGGCTTGTGGAATTAAGAATAGTATATTACGATACTAGGCCAGAAAGTTGGATTTCCTGGCCGGCGTGATATATATGGCCGAGGCGAAGCCGAGGCTTTATATATCACGCTCGCTAGGGTATCCAAATTTCTGGCCGTGTGTCGTATACAATTTTTCTGTATCCCCAGCCGAAAGTACGTTAAATAATTATTGTTTGAATAATAAAATAGCTCAATAAGTTGCCTACCCGACTTTTGCAAAGTCGAGGCGAAGCACAGTGGTCTGAATCTGCAATTTACTGTTCAAAAAAGTGTACAGCCCACAGATTTTGTCGAAATCTCGAAATTTTTTTTTCAGACACTCAGAAATAAATTTGTAAGAAACTTAAGGAAGCACTTTTTTAGATTTCGAATTTTTATTATTATTATTTTAATGCAAATAACAAATTAATGATGACTTAAATAGCTTTTCTTCTCATATATTAAGAAAAAAAAATTGTTTCTTCTCGATATTGCTTAAATCTTATAACTATTAACATATAAAAGATAAAAAACGATATTTGGACAATTAAAAATTTTTTTTTTAATTTTTAACAACTTTTAATTTAAGCTAAATTAACAAATGAATAGCTCGCTTGTTTACAAGAGAAAATTTTTTTTTATTTTTTAATGGCTTCAGATTAAGTCACTATTAACAACCGTACATAAATATTGTTCAAAAAATATTATTTATTAATGTTATAAACAAATTAAGTTAACAAATAAACTGTTTATTTGTTTATAGTCGAAATGACATCGTTTTTTTTTCAAATCGTTTTAAAATTATGTTACCAATAATATTTTTTTAGATATTTTTCATAATTTATAATTTATTAATGTTATAAACAAATTAAGTTAACAAATAAACTGTTTATTTGTTTATAGTCGAAATGGAATGGTTTTTTTCTAATAGATTTAAATGTATGTTACCAATAATATTTTTTATAGATATTTTTCATAATTTATAATTTGTTTATGTTATAAACAATTTAAGTTAACAAATGAACTGTTTATTTGTTTATAGTCGAAATGACATCGTTTTTTTCTATTCCTTTTAAAATTATGTTACCAATAATATTTTTTATAGATATTTTACATAATTTATAATTTATTAATGTTATAAACAAATTAAGTTAACAAATGACATGTTTATTTGTTTATAGTCGAAATGACATCATTATTTTCTAATCGTTTTAAAATTATGTTAACAATAAGATTTTTATACAATTTTTTCATAAGTTATAATTTATTAATGTTATAAACAAATTAAGTTAAGAAATAAATTATTCATTTGTTCATAGTCGAAATAGCATTGTTTTTTTCTAAGCATTCTAAAATTATGTTCTCTCGATTATATTATTGGTAACATAATTTTAAAACGAATAGAAAAAAAACGATGTCATTTCGACTATAAACAAATAAACAGTTTATTTGTTAACTTAAATTGTTTATAACATAAACAAATTATAAATTATGAAAAATATCTATAAAAAATATTATTGGTAACATACATTTAAATGTATTAGAAAAAAACCATTCCATTTCGACTATAAACAAATAAACAGTTTATTTGTTCACTTAATTTGTTTATAACATTAATAAATTATAAATTATGAAAATTATCTATAAAAATATTATTGGTAACATAATTTTAAAACGATTAGAAAATAATGATGTCATTTCGACTATAAGCAAATAAACAGTTTATTTGTTAACTTAATTTGTTTATAACATTAATAAATAATATTTTTTAAACAATATTTATGTACAGTTGTTAATAGTGACTTCATCTGAAGCCATTAGAAAATAAAAAAAAAATTTCTCCTGTAAACAAGCGAGCTATTCATTTGTTAATTTAGCTTAAATTAAAAGTTGTTAAAAATTATAAAAAAAAAATTTTTATTGTCCAAATATCGTTTTTTATCTTTCATATGTTAAAAATTATAAGATTTAAGCAATATCGAGAAGAAACAATTTTTTTTTCTTAATATATGAGAAGAAAAGCTATTTAAGTCATCATTAATTTGTTATTTGCATTAAAATAATAATAATAAAAATTCGAAATTTAAAAAAGTGCTTCCTTAAGTTTCTTACAAATTTATTTCTGAGTGTCTGAAAAAAAAAATTTCGAGATTTCGACAAAATCTGTGGGCTGTACACTTTTTTGAACAGTAAATTGCAGATTCAGACCACTGTGCGAAGCCGAGACTTAGCTGGTCGGGGCGGGCATGAAAAAAAAATTATAAGTAAAAAATAATTGGAAGTAAAATTTAAAAAATAGTAAACAAGAAATTTTCTTTTACAAATAAATATTTAATAATTAAAAAATAATAAAAGAAAATAAGAAATTTCATGCATTATTTTGATGACTGTCAGTTGTTTCCAAAACGTGAGCTCTGTAAGTAACGTGTCTGTGTGGTTGCTATGCTAACATGTACGTGTGTTGAAATTCTTGTAACCAATCAGAGCGCTCGTTGGGTTTGTCGAGCTGGCCACAAAAGTCGCTATTCCCGGAGCCAATTCAGACCGGGAAGACAGTACTTTCGGCAAAGGGATACAGAAAATTTCTTTTCAGATGTAGTGACAACAGTGGCGCACAACGAAAGGGCAGGAAAATCAATCAACAGGTGAGTAAATGATTAATAAACATCTTTTTTCAGATGCAGTGACAACGGTAGCGTACATCACTGTAATATCGCCGTAAGAATAAAAAATGTGCAATCACACATCTTTTTTTCATCTCAGCAAACAAAATTCGATTTATTTTAAATAAAAATTAAAACATACCTATTGGTTTTGTAGCCTTGGCCCGAGTTGGCGACGTTGGCGGCGGCGTTGACGTCGTGGGCATCGTGGACGACGTCGTTGGCGACGTCGGCGTCGTGGACGACGTTGGCAACGTGTGTACTGTGTTTATAAGCATATTATCAATTAAAGGAGTTCTTCAGGATTAAAAATCATATAAATTTGTTACAAATACTTGAGTAATTAATAAAATATAAGCATTTTATTAAAAAATTACGAATGCTTCAATAGTCGGACATTTTTTCTAAAGTCGGACATCTGTCAAAAATTTTTGATTTATAAAGTAAAAAAGATATTGTTTTTATTATTTCTTGCTGGAAAATTGAATTATAGCTTATTAGAAGTTAATAATATAATATTTAAATCCTATGAATTACAATATTTATAATTAATTATGAACAAAACTTTGTGCTACTCATTGCGCTACTCGAAAATGAATGCATCTATAGTCGGATTCTATATTCGCACCAATAATACGAACAAAACAATACTCAACCGACATCGGAATTCAAACATTCGGTCCTAACAAAAAAATTTATCTTAGAACAAACATTAATTTTAATTTTTAAATATTCACAATTTTTTCCTCGACTACTTACAAGAGATATTTGTTGGGATATCTTTATTAGTTAATTAATTAATTAATTAGTTAATTAATTCAAATCAATATTTCAACAAAAATCGGTAGTTAAAAATAGTCTCGGAACCAAGAACCGGACAATACTTTTCCGAAGGTTTTTGACGTGCTGAATCCGAATTTGACCTCAGAATTGCTCATTACGTTAGCTTTTTGAGGTCAGATTCGGATCCAGCACGTTAAAAACCTTCAGAAAAGTATTAACTGGTTCTTGGTTCCGAGATTCGCCAAAATTTTGTTGGCTTGTGTAATTAAGAAATTTTTTTTCAGATGTAGTGACAACCGCCTAATAGGCGGTTTTTCGCGAATTCAAAATTTCACCCGCCAACCTAGCCTTTAAAACCGCCTGGTTAGAAGGAAACCGCCCAATCTGGCAACCCAGCACCAGTACGTAAGTAAGCAAGTAAATTATTTCCTTTTGCTTACTTGCGTACTAGCTTTCTTTTTTGCTTGTTTCCTGTTTGTTTATTTGATTATTTACTTACTTATTCTGGTAAACCTAAATTCATTTTAAAATAATGAAAGAAATACTACTTACGATTTATTCCCACCCAGACATCCTCCTTCTTCACATACCCCGTTCCTGCAATATACGTAAAAATTAAAGTCATTGAGTCGCTCTAAATGTGGAAATATTCGGTTCTTTGAACTCTTGCACGATTATTAGTAGAGCTTTACTAATTGATTAGTAAAATTCTACTAACAATTAGTACAACTATCCCGAAATCTCGCCTGAGTCGTAATCACCTTTGCCCCCATGTTACGAACACTATTTTTTGTCCTAACAGCATGAAAAATATGTCATGGAGGGCACAAGCGAAGCGGGCGTTAATAGTTATTTTCGTATCAAGGGCGCAAAATAGGTGATCTCGTCGGAGTCGTAATCACCTATGCGCCCATGATGCGGACATAATATTTTGTCCGAACTGCATGGAAAGTATGGCATTGAGGGCACGAACGTTTAAGGGGGGAAACCACATTAGGTGGCTCATTTTTATGGATTAAAAAAAATTTTTTTTTGGGGGGGAAATATAAATTGAAATTTAATTACATTTAGGCATCTTTTTCTTAGTGTTTTGAACAATGTTTATAAATTCTTTTGATTTATTTTAACCAGAAATAAGGCAGATATGCTGTCATAACCACTGATGGTCCTGATATTTTTTCTCGAATTGCGTGACGTGTAACAATTTTTATTTTTAACTAAAATTAAGAAAAAAGTTTTCTTACATTCTTAACTTATTTTCTAAGAATATGAACCTCAATTTAGGTAAAAATAATAAAAATTTTGAATTTTTAAGGTGTTTGAAATTTTTCCTTAAATTTTCACAATTTTTTTTACACTAATTAGACAAAAAAACACTCTTAAAATCGTGATATCACCTTAAATGGTGGTTCATATTCTTCGTAATTTTATAAAGAATAAAACTTCCAAATCTCATTATAATCGGTAAATATTTGTTTAAGTTAGACTGCACGCAATCATAAAAAATGTGTTTTTGAGAAAAACGCATTTAAAGTTTCAATTTATTTTTTTTTGTTCAGCAGAAATTTTTTTTAAAGTCACAAAGAGTCATATAATAATAGAAAAAATAATAAAAAATTTCTAAATATATATACTTTAAGAAAATTAAAAAAATTAAAAATAAATTTTTTGAAAGTTATAATTAGGTTTCCCCCCTTAAATGCTCATATTAGTTAAAAAGTAAACTCTATATAAATGTAAACTCTTCGAAGTCTATAATGATGCAAGTTTTAATATAGAATAAGCATTATTTTTTTTAATTTCTACAGAAAAAAACAAAGAATTAGGAAGCGGGCGGAATGTGTTACTTTGCGCACGCCTTAACTACACGAAATAACATACTTTCCGTGCAGGTAGGACAAAAAGTACTTTTGCGCCCGCTTGTGTGACGTCAGCGGGCGTAAAAGAACTTTTGAGCCCGCTTCCCCGACCTCGGGCGAGAATCAGTTACTTTGCTCCCGCCTTGAGTGCCCAAAATGACGTACTTTTCGTGCAGGTAAGATAAATATAATAAAGAATAAGCATATGTAATTATACACGATAATTACTTATAACCCACACAGCACATATTTCCTAAATATTTCCCGAATATTTCACTGAAAGATTGAAATATTTCAGTGCAACGTTCTTGAAATATTGCTGCAAACAGGAAAATGTCCGCTTGTGTGGAAATAGTGACGCAAAAGTATTATTATTATTACTTTCATTACTATTAAATACTAACTAAAATAAAAAATGTAAAAGAAGTGAAATTCCAGTGAGAGTGAAGTGAATGTCAAGTGAGAGTGAAGTGAAATGAATGTGAAGTGATAGTGAAGTGAGAGTGAAGTGAAAGTCAAGTGAAAGTCAAGTGAGAGTGAAGTGAATGTCAAATGAGAGTGAAGTGAATGTAAAATGAATGTGAAGTGATAGTGAAGTGAGAGTGAAATTTAAGTGAGAGTGAAGTGAAAGTCAAGAGAGAGTCAAGTGAAAGTCAAGTGAGAGTGAAGTGAATGTCAAGTGAGAGTGAAGTGAAAGTGAAATGAATGTGAAGTGAGAGTGAAGTGAATGTGAAGTGAGAGTGAAATTTAAGTGAGAGAAGTGAAAGTCAAGTGAAATTCAAGTGAGAGTGAAGTGAAAGCAAGAGAGAGTCAAGTAAGAGTGAAGTGAATGTCAAGTGAGAGAGAAAGTGAAATGAATGTGAAGTGAGAGTGAAGTGAAAGTGAAGTGAATGTGAAATGAGAGTGAAATTTAAGTGAGAGTGAAGTGAAAGTCACGTGAGAGTGAAGTAAAATTCAAGTGAGAGTGAAGTGAAAGTCAAGTGAGAGTCAAGTGAATGTCAAGTGAAAGTGAAGTGAAAGTGAAATGAATGTGAAGTGATAGTGAAGTGAGAGTGAAGTGAAAGTAAAGTTACGGAATCGAACAATGTAATGTTATTTACTTACCAGCTAAGAAATTTTTTAAAAACATTCGTGCTTTTTCATAATGCACGCTGCGTGGTTCCTTCCAAAAAAGGTGAGCCAATGCTCTGCCGTCTTCTACAGATGGCAGCTGTTTTTCATTTAAATTTCGCTGTTTTAAAAAGTTTATAAATTTTTTCCTTGACGGCTCATCCGCCATTATTTTATGCTGAATCGTCATTTTTCTGTGAACAATATTAATATTAAAAATTTAACAAATCGCATACTAATAATTCTTCGCATGAACAAATTAGTTCTATTCCATTAGTTAAAACTGAGTAACTTAGATAAAGTGTTTTCATTTCTCTCAATACGAATCAGGTTTTATTAACATTTTTTAAAATTGTGATATATTTTTAAATTTCTAATAATAAATATAATTTTACATTGTCAAATATATGGGGCATTTTCAGTAAAAGTTTCAATCAAACATTTTTTTGTATTAAAACAATTTTTTTCGAATTCTATATGAAAAATAAGTAAATACGTGTTTTTTTATTTTTTTATTTGATCAAAATTATAATAGTTATGATTTTTTTAAATTTAACATCTTCGGAAGCAAAGGATTTTTGAAACACTTTTAACTCCGTTATACCAGAAAATAAAAAATAATGTAATATATGAAAATGACTTGTTTTTTCTTGAATATTTCAAATATGTAATAAAAAATAACTTTAATAAAGCGAAAACATTAAATAAATTGAAATTTCGTCTAAAATGTGACTTTTCTCAAAAGCGAAGTAATTGATTTTCGATTTTTTTCTTCCATTACAACCACTGATAAATATAGAAATTTTTCCCACTTAAGCCAAAGTGGTGTTCTTTAGGGTTGAAATTATATTTAAAATTATATCAGTCGTTGCACAGAGTTTTATTCGAATTTTACACTTTTTCAAAATTTAACCTTCAAAAACAAAGGAAAACGAATGTTTTGTGATTAATTTCTCAATTTCATTCTGTAAAATCTGTGCAACGACTGATATAATTTTAAATATAATTTGAACTCTAAAGAACACCACTTTGGCATAAGTGGGAAAAATTTCTATACTTATCAGTGGTTGTAATGCAAAAAAAATCGAAAATCAATTACTTCGCTTTTGAGAAAAGTCACATTTTAGACGAAATTTCAATTTATTTAATGTTTTCGCTTCATTAAAGTTATTTTTTATTACATATTTGAAATATTCAAGAAAAAACAAGTCATTTTCATATATTACATTATTTTTTATCTTTTGGTATAACGGAGTTAAAAGTGTTTGAAAAATCCATTGCTTCTGAAGATGTTAAATTTAAAAAAATCATAACTCTTATAATTTTGATCAAATAAAAAAATAAAAAAATACGTATTTACTTATTTTTCATATGGAATTCGAAAAAAATTGTTTTAATATAAAAAAAATTTTGAGTGAAACTTTTACTGAAAATGCCCCATATAAAATATTTATATTGATGAAATAGTCCCAAATATGCAACATACGGACGATCGACAATTGCACATAAACGTTCGGCAATTTGGGACTGAGGTTTCGAGTATCGCCCACACCGGGGGGTGGCCGGTCTCTTAATCTATTGTAGTTTATCTTAGGGTAAAGTACGGATTGATGCCTTCAATTCGAAATACGAAAGGTCTGCATTTGGCCATATATCCCAGCTGGGTGGGTAAGACGCCCCCTGCGGTAAGTTATTATAATTTTTTACAATAATTATTGTAAAAAATGTAAATCACCGATCTATTATGTTTCTCTGATTAATTTGAGACAAGAAAATAATTGCATATATTTTACGTGTTAACTATCCTTAATTCTTGTAATTAGAAATTTTGACCAGTGGTTTGAAAATTTTTTGACACTTTTAGCAATCTGAAATTTTTACATTATTATTTATAACTAATAACCCCGAGGTCCCAGCGGGCTGGCACTTTAGACAAAAATTATTATGGCCAATAGGTATAAAAAAAACCTACATAAATATAGTTTCTTCCATATTGGAGATCTAAGGAAGGGGGCATCGAGACGCATGATTTTCCCCTAAACCCCAAGTGGTCGAATGCTCAAATAGTCGAATGGACAAAACGTCGAATGTTCAAACATCGAATCGTCAAATGGTCGAATTCTCAAAACATCGAATCGTCAATTGATCGAATGTTCAAAACATCGAATCGTCAAATGTTCGATTGCTCATTTGTTCGAATTCTCAAATGTTCGAATGTTCAAAACGTCGAATCATCTAAAACTCGAAAAATTAGTTTGATTTAAGTTAACATTGACTTCAAACAAACTAATTTTTCGACTTTTTGATGATTCGACGTTTTGAACATTCGACGTTTTGTCCATTCGACTATTTGGTATTCGACTATTTGAGCATTCGATCACTTGGCGTTTAGGGGAAAATCATGCGTCTCGGGGGCATCTATCCGCACTTTACCTTAACAGCATGTGATTATTAGGTCCTCAATGTTAATTTTTTCGACCCATATGAAAAACCCATATGAAAAAAAAACCCATATGAAAAACGGAGAGATCCGACTATGTATAGACTACAGATTTTTGAACAAATTCATTATACGAGAACTTTTTCCGATTCCGCGAATCGACGACCTTTTAGACAGACTTTACGGAAAAACGTGGTACACGAAACTTGACCTTAAAGATGGTTTTCACTATATTCGAATTGCCGAGGATTCAATCAAGTATACCGCGTTCAGTACACCAGAAGGGCAATTTGAATATTTGAGAATGCCTTTTGGTCTGGTGAATGCGCCGTCTTATTTTCAACGATTTTTGCATTGTATTTTTCAGGAATTGTTAAACGAGGGAAAGCTTTTGTTGTATTTAGACGACTTTTTAATTGCTACCGAGACCTTGGAAGAGAATTGGAGTGTGTTGAATGATGTTTTGACCTTGATGGCGAAAAACGGTTTGAAATTGCGTTTGGACAAATGTATTTTTGGAGCACGGGAAATCGACTATTTAGGTTATAATGTGAGCGGTAAAGGTATTCAGCCAAGCAAAGAGCACCTGCAAGCAATTCTTAACTATCCATTACCAAGGAGTTCAAAGCAAGTACAACAATTTCTTGGACTCGTGGGATTTTTCAGGAAATTCATACCTAATTTCGCATTAATTTCAAAACCATTGTCAGATTTAATAAAAAAAGGGGTGTCATTCTCTTTCGGGGAAAATGAGTTGCATGCTTTTGAAAATTTAATTAATCGTTTAATCACCGAACCTGTTTTAGCATTTTATTCGCCTGAAGCATACACGGAGCTTCACACCGATTCGAGTGCTCTTGGCTTTGGGGCGATACTTTTACAAAAACAAAAAGATGAGCAACTGCACCCAGTATTTTACTTTAGCAAAAGAACGAGTGAACACGAACGAAAATATCATAGTTACGAGCTAGAAATGCTCGCAATTTTCTACGCGACAGAAAGATTTCGAATTTATTTGCTAGGTGTACCTTTTGTCATTCGTACAGATTGTCACGCGATCAAGTTAGCATTGGGCAAAAAAGAAATAAATCCTAGAATCATTCGTTGGGCATTACACTTACAAAATTTCCAGTACAAAGTAGAACACCGAGCATCGGAACGCATGAAACATGTCGATGCCCTAAGTAGGGAAATTTTTGTCATAGAACCACTATCATTCGAGCAAGAACTAATGTTCAAACAGTTAGCAGATCCCGAGTTGAAAGAAATAAGCGATAGCTTAATGTATGGCGAGAGCGACAAATATGTCAATCGAAATGGACTATTATATCGAAAACATAATGATTCTTCGTTGTTTTGTGTGCCTGCGAGTATGATTAGCAATGTCATAAGATCTTGTCATGATGAGGTTGGTCACGTAGGGGTCGACAAGACAGTAGAATTGATCACAAGAACTTACTGGTTTCGAGAATTGAGAAAGAAAGTAAAGGAACATGTCGGTAATTGTTTAAAATGTTTGGTATATAACGTTCGTTCGGGAAAAGCTGAAGGGGAACTTCACATTTGGGTAAGGGCAAAAAAGCCATTCGAGGCTGTATTTGTCGACCACTACGGCCCCTTGAATGCTGCGACGTTTGGATATAAACACATATTTCTTATAATCGACGGTTACACAAAATTTGTTGTTTTGTACCCTGTTAAATCGACGAGTTCAAAAGAAACGATTGGGAAAATAAAAAATTATATTCATCACTACGGAAAACCGCGAACACTTGTATCCGACAGAGGTACATGTTTTACCTCCGAGGAATTTAAAAACGCCATGATCGACCGAGACATCAAACATGTTAAAGTAGCTGCGGGAACGCCCCGTGCAAACGGTCAAGCGGAACGCGTTTTCAGATTTCTAAGATCCACTTTAGCGAAAATTGTAGGAAACTCGAATTGGGAAAAAAGACTAGGCGACGCTCAATTTGTAATTAACAATACTGTAAATAGATCGATAGGCTGCTCCCCAGCACGACTTCTGTTTGGCGCGGACCAAATAGGATTCTCAGACGAAGAATTTAAATGTATTTTAATTGAAGCGGAAAACCAATTGAGCCCAGACGAATTGCGAGAAAAACTTCGAGAAAAGGCAAATATTATTTGTGATCAGTTACGCGAAAAAAATAAGTTAAAATTCGACGAAAAACGCAAAAAGCCTTATAAATTCGAATGCGGCGATTTTATTTTTATACCGAATATTGTTACAGAACCCGGTGTAAATCAAAAACTATTGCCGAAAAAGAAAGGACCATATGAAGTCAAAAAAGTCCTACATATTTAATTGGTGACGTTGAAGGATTCCAATTAACACAAAAACCGTTCTCCAGCGTATACAGTTCCGACCGAATGGAACCATGGGACGGGCAAACTTTATCTTTTATAGAGCACTATTGTTTAAATCACGACAAACTTTATGATCGAGGCGATCATAAGTCAGGAATGGCCGAACTGTAGGCTATTTAGCACTATTTTGCAGTGTCCTTCAGACACAACCTAATTCAATTTTACCGCCATCTTTTATATTTTACTTTTTTA